TGGGCTAAGCTCTATACCTGAATCAAATTTCTATTAGATGTTGAGAATAGAGGGCAATTATTCTTTCTCCAAGAGTTGTAGTCAGTGGAACTGGTAACTTGACAGATGAGAGTACAAGGATGCATTGGTCACAAAAGATTTTAACTTAAGAAACAGGTATTCTTTATGGAGGGGCTTTTATTAAAAAAAGCTGAAAGTAAAGGCTTTTATATGCAAATTATGTCATTTTATGGTCATGAAGTAGACATATCTTTTTTTATTTTATTTTACTTTTTCAGTTGTGAGGCTTGAATTCTGGGTCTGGGCACTGTCCCTGAGCTCTTCAGCTCAAGGTGAGTGCTCTACCACTTGAGCCACAGTGCCACTTCTGGTTTTCTGGTGGTTTATTGAAGATAAGAATCTCAAGGACTTTCCTGCCCGGGCTGGCTTTGAACCACGATCCTCAGATCTCAGCCTCCTGAGCAGCTAGGATTACAGGTGTGAGCCACCAGTGCCCAACTAAAGTGGACACATCTTTAACAACTCAAACTTTACTGGAAACCCACTGGTTATGAAGAATCTTAGAGTCATAAGGCCCTAGGTTTGAATTCTGGCTCTGTCACCTCCAACTTTGTGATTAGTAAAATGTGCCTAGTAATATCTACCTTATATAAATTGAATGAAGATACCGTAAGATAATGTAAAATAGCGCATAGTATAGTGATTAGATCAATAAATATGGCTATCATAGACTACTTAAATGGCACTTTTGACTGATGCTCTAAAATAAAATGATTCCCATCTCCCTGGCAGCCTGGGCTGATGGCCCAGATGGCATCCACAGCCGCTGGAGTAGCTGTGGGCTCTGCCGTTGGGCACACACTGGGCCATGCCGTCACTGGCGGCTTCAGTGGAGCTGGTAATGCTGAGCCCGCCAGGCGGGACATCACTTATCAGGAGCCCCAGGGAACTCAGCTAGCGCAGCAGCAGCAGCAGCAGCAGCAGCAGCAGCAGCAGCAGCAGCAGCTTCGTGGCCCATGCTCCTTTGAAAGAAAGCAGTTTTTGGAGTGTGCCCAGAACCTGGGTGATTTTAAGCTCTGTGAGGGCTTCAATGAAATGCTGAAGCAGTGCAGAATTGCAAATGGACTAGTTTAACCATGAAGTTCAAGTTGAAGAAATGGAAAATCACCTCTGATGACCAAGTTAATTTAACATGGAAATGTAATTGGTAGTGACACTATAGAGTGTAAAACTATAAGTTAACTTCTTGTTGTTAATTGCATGGTTGCCTCAGAGTGGCCATGGAAGAGGGTATTGTGACTCTTAATACAGCTTCACTGAGATGGTATAGAGTTGGGGCTGAGAGGTGTTTGTGTGGTCTTCATTGTTCTGATGTTATTTTGAGTTAATTAGAATAAACTGACTTCTTCCAAAAAAAAAAAGAAATAAACTTCCAAAGCTAGATTCTCATAGAGTTTACAAAGAAACTGGTCCAAGACAGGTATTGCTGCTTGTGGATCCCTCCTCTTGTTAGTGATTTTGAAAGTACACAAGAAGTAAAAGGGAGGAAGAATTTGATAAGGGCATTTTGCTTGTGGAGAAAGCACTAAACACAACTGTGCATCCTCACTCTTTCCCAATTACCACCTCAATCTTATGAGGAGGAGTTCGAGGGAGGCCAATCTGGGAGCTTCCTCTCTGCTCTTTGCAGTTGGGAATTGAGAGAAGAACAGGTGCCCAATACAGCTTGAGAAGATTAAGATAACCTGTGGGAGAGCATTAGCGGTGCCTTGTGGCACCAGCCTCTCCTCCCAATAACTAATGGAGAAGACAAGAACCAGACTATAAAGTGTGTGTGTGGGGGGCTCCCTCCAGAACAAATGTGCCAGAGATCCACGGGTGGATAGTCTGGAGGAGTTTGGGGTTCTTCTATCCAAGTGAGCTTCTGTCAAAGGATGCGGGGAGTGTGTGCTAGGTGGACTGACAATAAAAGAAGCTGAGAGGCTCTGGGTGCAGGCAGCCTGGGAAACTCCTGTCTCTTGGGAGCTGTAGTGGAGCTGCTGGGGGAAAGGGGAACGCTTCAAAAGATGGTCATGAGAGTCCAAGACAGGAGTCAGAGGGGATGCCCTCAGCAGGCTCAAAGTGTGAAGCCCACCATCCTTGATGCCATTTAAGTGAGCCAACTCATCCTTCACACTCTCCTTTCACTGATCCTACCCTTGAATCTCAGCAGGCAGGGGAAGGGGAGAAAGCAGCTCTAGGCAGAGAAATGAAGAGGAAACCACCCACGTTAAAAAAAATACTACTGCTTTTTCAGTCTGAAGCAGGCCTGGGTTTTGAATAGGCAGAAATAGGACCTTTTTTTTATCAAGGAATGGAGTGTTTTGGTTAATCTCTTGGACTGAGAATTCTTAGTTTGAATTTGAATTTTAGCTAAGGATGGTGGAGTATAATCTGCTTTGAGTACAAATTCAATAGTACTAGAAATAATGAAAAGCATGTGGTTACTTATTAGTGGTGCTGATCTGCTATATTGGTTTCATCATTTTCTTTTTTTACTAATGTTGGTAAGGGAAAGATACCATCAAAGTTAGCATTGTAATCCTCTACCTTTTACTTTTAATATATCCTATATTTTTATGACACCCGATAAATATCCCTATATCACAAGTGATCTCTGGCAGTGATTTAGGAAGGCATTTTGTAACCAGGATTCTCATCACCTATGAGAAAATTTATTTCCTTAAAGATGTTGTTCTATAAATACTGAGAATGTTTTTATATCCAAGGTAGAAATCAGGTAGTATTTGCTGTAACTTTTGGTTCCACCACATGGCGGCTTGGGGGTTTGAACACAAACAAGAGCAGATAATCATATTTTTAGTATTCTTTCAATGCATGATACATGTTAGAAAGCTATATAATTCACAAATGTTTAATGAATATTCACAGACTAAACACATCCATGTAACCCATACTAAGTCATAACATAAAATACTACTGATACCCTTTTTCACTGACTTCATATGTCAATGGTTGTGCTTTGTTTTAAAACATTTTCACACTGAAGCCATATGTGTATGGATTCACTTTAGGTTGTTGTTATAGATGTTTAATTACAAATCTATATTGCATTCTGCCAGACAAATATGCAACTATTTATTAATTAACTCTATTACATCAGCTGGTAGGCATTTGGATTGTTTCCAGACATAGGCTTTAAAAAATATTGCCACTAGAATGACTCATACACATACACTTGAGGGACTATGCCATGCATTTTTACTCATGTCATGTTTAGGAAGGGAATTGCTATAAGTATGACAATGTTAATTTCCAGTATACAATAACCAATTTTATGAAGTAATTATAAGAATAACACCTCTATCAACTATGTATGAGAAATCATTCCACTTCCTTGTCCACACTTGGTATCCTCTTAATTTTTCACTCTATCTAGGCTGGTGTGTGCTGAATGGTTTTGTAGAAAATCTTGTCTAGCCACTGCCATATTTGGGTATACTACCGAGTTCGAAGTGAGAAATATTTGCCTCTGCTTTCTCTCTTTTCATGAGAACATTGATTTAGCTTAGCTGTTTTGGAAGGACCTCAGGATAGCTGTATTTGTGATCCATGCTGGCCAATACGTTGATCAGTAAGCATGAATTGTGTCAGTCAGTATTTTGAAGGCTTGTGCAGGACATCTGATTTAAACTAATTTAAACAAAAAGTACCCAACCCTTGTTGCTGAAAAGACAGGTTGCCAACTCTAGAGGCTAAGTTTTGCTTTCCAAATGAAGACTACTTTTTTTTTTTTTAATCAAGATGTTTTACTTCTGGTAAGCTTGCCTCTCTGCTGTAGGAAAGAATTTTCCTGATAACTCCGAAGTCTTCAGTAGAAACACAAAGCAATGAGACCAGCAATAGCAACATTCTTTCTGTCTTTCTGGAGCTCCCTAACATGAGTCCTAGAAGTGTTCATGGACCTTCCTTAGCTCAGGGCAGGGATGAGGTCTCTCTACAACACAAGCTCTTAGAAGCAAAGATTCTCTGAGAAAATTGGAATGCTGTTAACAATGGAAGAGACAGTGGTTGGTGGTAGGCAGATGTAACAACATATATACAGTAAGTCCGACTACCTAAAAAGGATGCAGTTTATTTGTACAGATGTCAAATTTATCCTAGGACTAATCAGAGAAGTTGTACATGCACACCACATCATGTAGGCCCTGTGGAAATTCTTTTATTGAACTGTGCTGGGATATGCTGTTATCTTCTTGCATTGAGGGACAGTGTAATGAGAAACCTGTGGAATTCCTTATAATATGGTAAGGTAGCACTAAGGATACATTTTATTTCAGGCTCAACATCATCAAATTCTAAGGGTAGCGTTACTGGGAAGAGTTGAAATGTTTCTTAATACCTTTATGATGTTGCCTTTTGGACACTATGATTTCTGAAACTGGTAAAGTTAGATCACCAGAGTCCATTTCTATAGCTTGTTTAGTGAAGTATTATATACATATTATATGGCTTCCAAGCATGGGATGATTTCAGTGCCAAGCACACGCCTTCATTTTTACCTTCTATTTCCTTCAGTGTGATCCCCAGTTCTTTTTTCTTCTTTTGTTAATCCTTTTTTTTCAAAGAAAATTAAGTAGTTGGATCTGTCTTTTTCTACTGTTAAGTGTATCCATTGTAAATTTCCTTGAGCATTTCCTAAGAACTTGAAAAATATAGTATTTTGTGTCAATTTAATTCTACATTGAAAAACCATCACAATACAAAGAAATGTGTGTGTTTTTCCTAAAATTCATTTTCATGCTATAGTTGCATAGAGTGCTTTCAATCCCAGAGTCAGGCCATGAGGACAATGTATCTTGATCAATGTCACCCCTTTCATTGTTCTCCCTCATATGATTACATTGCTCAGTATTTAAAGAGTATACATTGAATGAAATGACTGCATGATGCTTGGTTATGACAAGAAGCTTACTAACCAGACTTACTTTGGGTTTCAGTTTTAGATGAAGGAGTTGTGAAACACTACAGAATCAGAAGACTGGATGAAGGGGGCTTTTTCCTTACCCGAAGACAAACTTTCTCCACACTGAATGAATTTGTAAACTACTACAGCAATCAAAGTGATGGCCTGTGTGTCAGGCTGGGTAGACCATGCTTAAAGGTGAAATGCTCTCAAGCTATGTTGGATTGTCTTTGAATTCTCTTTGCTTTGAGATAGTGGAGTATTTGTTATACAATGTCAGTTTCAAAAGAGACAGTACAGTGCATGCTAAACTTGACTGAACTTTAGGAAGGCAGAGCTGCGTGCCAGTTTTGTTTATTGAATGATCCCCAGCTGATGATTAGAACTTTTAAAAATCAACTAAAAGAAGCCGGGCGCCAATGGCTCACTCCTGTATCCTAACTATTCAGGAGGCTGAGATCTGGGGATCACAGTTCAAAGTAAGCCCGGGCAGAAAAGTCTGTGAGACTCTTATCTCCAATAAACCACTAGAAAACCAGAAGTGCAGCTGTGGCTCAAGCGGTAGAGTGCTCGCCTTGAGCTGAAGAGCGCAGGGAGAGCACCCAAGCCCAGAGTTCAAGCCCCATGACCCACCAAAAAAAAAAAAATTAACTAAAAGAGTAAAGAAGGGAGTGAACAAGTAAATAGTAATTTTGAAACAATATAATTTTATTCTGCAAAATATGGTATCTAAAAGTCAATGATTTAACTGCAGGGTGTGGGGAGGACCTGCAAGTGAGTTGGAATGCTGAATAAGTTTTGACATGGGAGGGTTTAGTAGGCAAATTGGCAGAGACCTGTGTCAGGCTGTGTCATGCTGTGTGAGCCTGATGGGTGCTGATGGATGAGATAGACAGACTTGGGGCTGTAGGTTTGGGGACAGGATCAGTGAAAAGAGTTAGGAGTGCAGCCTCCCACAATGGTTTTCCACTTTCAAGTAATTAGAATGTCATTTATTGTATTGTTCTTTTCAAAGCGACCATTTTTCTCTTAAAATATACCCAGATGATTATTTTCCACAAAAAGCATCACGTCTACCGTATTTTCCTTATTCTGGGAAACAGATACAGGTCCCAACTCCTTTTGATTTGTCCTATAAAACGGCAGACCAGTGGGAGATAGACCGCAATTCCGTACAGCTCCTGAAGCGACTGGGATCCGGCCAGTTCGGTGAAGTGTGGGAAGGCCTGTGGAACAATACCACTCCAGTTGCCGTCAAAACGTTAAAACCAGGTAGGAGAATATCAAAGTTGAAATGGCATATGCTGATTGCTATGAGCACAACTTGCTACGATAAGTGTCTAAGATGTTATGGGACAGCCAGGGTGATCAGTGACCCAATGTTGTCATCATTCTTTCTACCCTGGCCCACCGACAGGCCTTGAAACAAAGCCAGCTCCCTGAATCAGCTAAGCTTAAAACAGCCCAAACTGAGTTTCTAGCAGTGCATTTCTTCTTTAAAGTTAGGATTCAGTCTTTTAATGTTCTTCTTCTCCTTTTTTCCTAACTTTAGATAAAAAATTGACTAAAATGTTAAAAAAAAAAAACAGATTGAACATGGGTACCATACACAGATTAACTGTATTAAACACGGATTGGATGATCAAAGGGAAAAGGGTCCATCTAAAACTAAGTTCATTTTTGAAAATCTAGGAACTATTTTTATTTCCATCTTCATTTCCTCTTCCCTGGAAGGTAAACATAGTGTAAGATCAATATTCATCTAGCCAGAGAATCAATTAGTCTTTCCATTTTAAAGATGGGCTGAAAGAATCTAGAGAGATTGAGTAACTTTGCTATGGCTTGCTACTCAACCGTTCTTGAGCAAAAATTTGAACTACTCTTTTCCTCAGTTTTATCTCCATTTGGAAAAATAGAGATAACAATAAGGCTAGCCTTGAAGGATTGTATGAAAACTAAATTAGGTCATTAGTAGAAATGCTTTGCATAACTTGTGGTTTATAATAGTCACCAATAAAATATATAATCATAATTGTTATTATTATTAAGTCAATAAATAGCAATGCTGGAAATTGAACACACATCCATCACCACTATAGTATCATACATCCCATGGAAGTGACACTTTCTTATAAAATTTTCAAATGATAAGTTCTTAGGGGAAAAACTTCTTAGTAATTTGGAGCTAACCAAGTAACTCAGAAGGTTACTAAGAATTCATTTTGTCATAGTCTATTATGAAAAAGCAAGGAGATGCTCAGAATAGCAGGAACTGAAAATGTTGGGTTCTTAGGATTATAATAGTTAAGAGCATGAAGTCTGGGGTAAGATGAACCTGAGTTCAAACTTGATTCAGTTCTCTGTAACATTTGGACAATTGATTGACCTTTCTGAACCTCCTTACCTGGAAGTAGGTATTATAATCATTTCTGATCTGTAGAGTTTTATGAGGACACATTGAGTTAATGTGCATAAAGTATATGCAGTGAGTTCTTAGGAAATGTTAGCCTCTAAGTGCATTAGATGGATGCACCCAGTGAGGAACAGATTTACAAGTACAGTAGTAGTTTGGTTCCAGCATTCCTATCTCCAATTTGACGCACTTTTTTTTTTTTTGGGTCCACTCGTGGGGCCTGAACTCTGGGCCTGGGCACTGTCCCTCAGCTCTTCAGCTCAAGGCTAGCACTCTACCACTTGAGCCACAGCACCACTTCTGGCTTTTTTCTTTTTGCTTATGTGGTGCTGAGGAATCGAACCCAGGGCCTCATGCATGCAAGGCAAGTGCTCTACCACTGAGCCAACTTCCCAGCCCAATTTGAGGCACTTTTATGTGACCAGTTGCCATCTGAGTACATCAGCTAAAGACAATCTACTCCAGCACCTGAGACTTTTTTCAACCACCAAGTAGATAGTCTTTTAAATCCTGATCTTGTTGAAATATGAAACTGTCTAACCAAATCATTCTTTCCCCCCCAAAATAACCAAAAACAAACAAACAAACCAAGCAGCAAGATATCTTTCCTAACATTGCTTCCTAAGGCAGCCTTCTGGAGGTCAAAAGAGAACAACAAAAAATCGCATTTATTATACTAAGCAAAAGCCATGATTGTTTTCTTTGCAACAGGAATAATTATTATTGATTTACAGTGTAATAGCAGCAAACAGTTTTGGTGATTGGTTAAATGTCTTCACTTCACTGGGGCCATTTATCAATTTTAGCAGTTATTTATTGCCTAGCTGACTGCCACGCAATAAAGATGAGCTTGAAATCAACTCTCACAGAAGCTTTGACAGGCAAAAATTAATATTTAATGTTGTGCTGCTAGCTGAGTTGAGGTTGGGTCTCCCTTGTACTGTAGCTGGTGGGCTGTAATCATTGTGGCCACTGGGCAGTGCTCTAATAGTATTACCGGCAGAGAAGCCTGGTTTCAGCTCTTACACATATTCTGGTTTGGAAATGGTTGCCTTGTCATGCAGAAATTGAATGATGCTTGCAATTGGTGCTATCCTTGGAAGCTCCATAAATCAGATTATTATTTTTAAAAATTTGAGTGTTGGATAATAAAGTATCCATATTTGACCACAGGCTAGTCATACCACTAAGCTTAACAACTATTTGACCAAGAACTAAGTGATTTGTTTTGGTATAGGAGCCTCTTTTATTTCCAGCTACAGTTTTCTATTATGACTCTAAATTTTGTCCTATTTGATTATGTGGAGTAAACCAGTGGTAGAGTTGGAATTGAGGGAGTTCAAAAATAATGTGATGGAAGAATAGGAAATATATTTTAAGGCCTTGTCCTGTCTTCTCTTCAATCAGTGTAAAACGATTATCAATTGGTTTGTTTGGATTTCTCAAGAGCATGCAAGTGTATAATAGTAGAAATAAGGATCAGCCATCATTGACTACTTGTTCCTGGTATTGCTATTATCCTGATAAATACTTTACAATGTGAACAGGATAATTAACCACTGAAGCTCAGAGAGGTTGGATCACTTGCTTAAGATCACACAGGGAGCTAACAGCAGAGTTGAGGTTTCTTAATAATCCAGAGTCTGTTGGACCTGCATGCTGATCTTTGAGACTCTTGAAGGATTATCACATGTAACACTTCTTAGCTTCATGTTAATAGATAGGTCACGATGCTGCCTTGGATTCATACAGTGTATTTAGGCCTGGGTTCAAATATTGGTTGTAATATCTTCATTATGGGAAACGATGATGGAGGAATGGCTTCTAAGCATCCATGGACGATAGAGTATCCCTAGTGAATACTAAGGTGAGACATGACAGTATTCCATCAGTTCTAATAATGCTTCGGAAACATCCTATCCTACAGGACACAAAAGATTTGAAAATTACTAAAGAAATGTAAACTCCAGGTATCCTTCCTTTTAGATTTTATTGGATGTTAATGACTTGGCATGTTGCCCCAGTGAGTCAGAGTTGGACCTTTTAAGTACAATTTAACTATAGATGAATCCTCAAAACAGCCCAAAATATCATCTCCTTTATTGCTTGGTCAAACTTTTAGGGATTTGATAATGGAAGCAGATAATAAAGGAGAGAATGTTAAATATCAATTTCGCTTTAAATATATAAAGCTGGCGAAAAGAAGCTGTGCCCTTTGCATATGTCCTTGAATGTTTTCTGCTTAGCCTGTGGTCCATGTACCATAAGAGGAAGGACATAAATTCGATAGAATGCCATTTTTTAAAGTTGTTTCTTCCAGCTATTCCTACAAGTAGGGACCCAAGGGTAGGGCAGCCATCAGTTTCTCCTGAAACAAAGAGCTCTGAGTTGAGTAATTAAACATTCAACATACTTCAGTGTTCATGTTAATAGATTCTCTTCTCTTTGTGTTCTGAAGATGTCCACCTTGTTTTATCAATTAGACTGTCAGTCTCTCTTGTTCTCTTCATTTTTCATAGGGGACCCAGATCAAGCGCTCTTCACCTACAGGTCATCACATATAAACTGCATACCTCCTGATACAACAACACATCTGGTAATTAGGTTGCCCTGGTTGAACTGATTCTCTTCTTTGATAACTTGGAAGATTTGTGACACTGATGCTCTTACATTACTGGGAGGCAGGAGGCAATCTCTGGTGATTCCCACCAGGCTGCTGTAAGAATAGGAATGGGTCAATAACATAAAATGATTTCCTCCTTTTCTTGTTTCAGGTTCAATGGATCCAAATGACTTCCTGAGGGAGGCGCAGATAATGAAGAGCCTAAGACATCCAAAGCTTATCCAGCTTTATGCTGTTTGCACTTTAGAAGATCCAATTTATATTATTACTGAGTTGATGAGACATGGAAGTCTGCAGGAATACCTACAGAGTAAGTGAAAGACTTAAGACAAGGGGAAAAAGGAATCTAGTTTAGCTTGTCTTATAAATGTCAATTTAGCAAACCTTCTCTAACCCAAAGGATATTCACTGTGTACCTATCTGCAAGGGTCAACGCTGTGACATTGAGTAGCTCAACTAATAGTTAATAGTATTTATACAGTGTATTAAAGGAGAGGAGAAATGTTTATGTAGAGGAGCAAATTGTTCACAGTGAACCCAAGTATTAAAATGTAATATGGGAAATTGGTGAATAGATGCTCTGCATGATGCTCTGTTTTTCTATATGAATCAGACATTATTCATCATGGCCCGATATATTGTATTGTTCAAAATTTGGGAACATAGACTATTTAGGGTCAGACAGGGAGAAAAGTATCCTGGAGTTTTTTCTTTGTATTTGCTAATATTATACTTGTTGATGTTTATAATACAGTAACAGCGAGGCAACATTATATTTTCAGACTACAAAGCAGAAACATACTATTGCTTTCCCTCAATCTACTTCCTGCAGTCAAAGAAAACTTAAGGGCATTGTGAAACATTGATGTTTATTAAAATGAGCAATTTAATAAATAAAATACTAAGCATCAAAACGAGAGATCAAGCTCTTAGGGAAAATCCATATTCAAAGACAGACATTTTTCTAATTATTTTAAATGTTGACTGAAGAGAAGGTGAGGAAGATGGAAAGAGGATTTTAGGGCAACTTGTGAAGTTGGTGGTTCTAAACTACAACACAAAATAACAACGGCAAATATAATGTGGTCTATTAAATGCCATAAAAAGCCAAAATATACTTACATCATAAAAAACCAAAATACACTTAGATCTCTTTTTTAATTCAGTATATTGAATACATTCAATACATTTGAGAAGATGTCACCTGCCACAGAAAGACTACCTTCAGCTATGGACTGCTTTTGTCTTATTCCCCAAAGTACAAGAGTGACTGGGTATCATATCTAACAATGTGCTTTGTAAAGCTCACATATAATATGGACATTAAATACATGATCAACTTGCGGTTTTCAGACCTAACAGAAGCAATTAGCTTACTTGTTTTACCTGGTTTTCAATCTTCCTTTTCGGATCAGTTCTCAATTTGTGTATACTTCTTTTAAAAATTACTTTATTATAAAGATGCTGTACAGAGGGCTTACAGTTACATGAGTAAGGTAATGAGTACATTTCTTGTCAAGCATTTTTACCCCCTCCTTTGTTTTTCTCCTACTAATTTTGAACTCTCCGGGAATCTTTCCAAGCGTATTCTGTTCTCCTGTTCACTTCAGCCAGTGTCATTACTTAAATGTATTAAGGAGGCCCCAATTTTATTCCTTGCCACTGAATAATATACTCTGCTGCTGGTAGACCCACAATCTCCACTTGGATGCTGAGTCAGTTTGGAAGATGTAGCTATGGCAGTAGCCTCCAGACTCTAGGGACTCCACCTGACAAGTGTTTTGTCCTCATTTTCCATGTGTAAAATTGGTTGCCTGGTGGCTACACTTTATTGATCACCGTTGAGAAGAAGAGGATGGGACTGGTTTCATCTTGACTCTGGAAGCTTCTGACTAGAAGTGATCTAGGTCATTGCTGTGTCTTTTTTGTTTGGGTAAATGCAATCAAGTGGGTTAAGAAAGTATGATCATTTGAAGTCCTACTGAAGAGAACTCACAAGGATATGCCAAGAACTGATCTTCTGATTTTCCTAGTGATTTGCTACTTTTCCAGTATTTCTTTCTTCGACGATGTCAATACTCACTTGACCTTCGTGTCATTTCTACATCTGTATCCCATATCTAACCAAACATACCTTTTATTTATTTCTTTTCAAACATATCCAGTGTTTATTATTTTTGCTATTTTAATTATTTACCTTTCTCAATGTTCTACCTGGGTTCTAGCCATCACTGGCTACATTAGGTTTGGTAATAGCATCTTTATTAGTCTGTCTTTTTTTTTTACTGTAAGGTTTATGTACAGGGGTTACAGATACATAGGTAGGATAATGCATACATTTCTTTTTGAACAGTGTTACCTCCTCCCTCATTTTTTCCTCCCCCCAACTTCCTTCCTCCAAATTGTAAAGTTCATTTCCAATGTAATGTTTAGTGAATACCATTAATTCTCCTCCTCCTTTTTGGTCATTTTTTAAAAAAGCATAATAGAGAAATATAATTAAAATACAGATTAGCTTGCCCCTTCTCAGGTTGAAACCTTCAAAGACTCTCACTGGTTCTCCTTTTATTTCTTTGGGGAAACTATTTTATATACAAGTTGTATTATAACAACCCAGGTAACAAGGAGCAGTATTAAATAGAACATGTTCAAATTTCATAGCACTTTAAAGGGGATAGTAATGAGCTATCTTTTGCTTAGCTCATAATCAGATGATGGGGACATAAGAAACTTAGTGAGAGCAACGAGGATTGTGACTCTTCAAAAGAACACACAGTTCATAGCTCATTGGTTCTTATATCTGTTTAACTCAGAAAGTCTTGTCTGGGCTCTGTATTAGTTTTTGGCCTTATCTCCTGCAACATTCCTCTTGTTACTTGGTACTTTCTTTCCTATTCCTTTTACCCTCCAGTCACTCTTCTGCCTTGAGGTCTGTGCTTTTGTTTTTGTTTTTGTTTTTTTGCTTGTTTTATTCCCCCATGCTGTTTATCCACATGCTGACTTCTCATTTCCTGAAAGTCTTTGACACTTCCATCTTGGTGAGTTCTTCACTGATCACCTGTCAAATTTGAAAACTCAAGCTTCTCATGATCCTCATACTTTTCTATTCTTTTAGTATTTTTTCTCCTGGATAGTCAATTTTTTATATTGCATGACTTATTTATTTAGCTTATTTTTAATATCTTCTAAATACAATTCTACAGAAGGCAGAAAGTGTCAACGTGGTAGAGCAGTGTCTGGCATATGGAATGAGTGCATTAGATATGTGTTGATGGACTGAGTAGTTGAGACCATACCAGACCTCATAAGATTGGGATTTGGAGACAAATTAGTTTGAGACTCTTGGTATTAGCTTGAAGAGATCCCATTTAGTAGTCTGAAAAACTTTCTGGCATTGAGCATTTGTATGTTTTTTTGATGTGGTTTTATCAGGGGCTGACTCTGAACTATTTCATTTTCTGAGTTTAGTTACCTTGACAAGTTTCCTAAGGCCTTCATTTGTAATAATACCTAGCAACCAGAAAGGTTAATGAATATATACTTACTGTATACTATCCCCTTTCAATCAAAAGGTGTAAATTTAATCAAATGATCTTGACATGAATCTGTCATACTTAAGTAGCCCATAAGTTTACACATCATTAAATTGGAAGACAATTTTTATAATTGAAAGTTGAGTATTTTTATTTTTCTCATTATTTTGGTGCAGATACAAAGTTTCACAGGTTTGTGAACATTTATACTGGGATCTATGATGGTTGTGTTACATGTATCTTCTGAGGTTGTTTTGTACTTTTAAAACTACTGCCCTGTTCACAATAGCATGTGTATAATACACAATTTTCTCCAGTATGCTGCCTGCCAGTAAAAATCTTTTTAGATCTACTGTAATAGGATTATATGTTGTATTTGGTATTTGAAGTAACACACATATTTTTATAAAACAGTTTTTGTAACCTCTAAGCTTAGCTGAGTTTCCCTTTGTAATATTGTTCTCTGAAATTGGAGAGATCTCCCCTAAACAACAACAACAGAAAACTTTAACACTGAGGATAATTGATGACAGGTATTTCAAACTGAAATTTAGAAAGGATAAATATCTATATCCTCTTTCATGTGGTTAGATTTTTTTCCTCAATAAATACCTATAGAACATCTACCATATGTATGCATTAAAGTATTCCTTAAAGAACATAAAACATTTTCTATTTTCATAAATCAAGTCTCAGCAGGGTGTTCCTCATTCTTCAGGACAGTTGATTTAGACTGACTGAAGTAGACAAGTATGTTATTTCTATTGAGATACCCTTCAGCTGACTCCACCTAAATAACCGTGGTTGTCCTCTGACTTCTGAGTGCTTACTGGTTATATGTGGGGTAAGTTTAGGGAGGGGAAATAAAAGAGTTTTGGGAACATAAAATTTCAGCTTCAAATATACATGGATTTGAATCTCAACTGTACAACCTATTGTCTACTCTTAAGAGAAATAGGGAATCCTATGAAATAGAGTAAACAATACTTCATACACTTATCCTCAGTATCAAATTTAGTAATTTAACTGAAATCAAATGTATGGGACAGTGGTGAGAGAGGAACATATAGATTTTTTTTTGAAAACCATGTTACATGGTTACATGGCTACTGACACAGCAGGCATTTTTCTAAGTCCTTTATAAATATTAACTTGTGAATTTTTCTGACTACCTTAAGAGTTAAGAATTGTTAACTACTTTATAGTTGAAGGCCCTGAGGTATAGAGAGCATCAGCAACTTATTTAAGATGGAAGTTGGGCTCCATAGTTCATGCTTTTAACCTCATAGATAGCACTGATGCTATTTTCCTAACATCAATTGCATTAGTTGCCTATTGCTTCAAAATAGCTCGCATTTAGTATCTCATGGTTGCTATGGTCAGGAATCCAGAGACCTGTTGTATAGTCTAGAATCTCATGAGACTGTGGGCAAGATGTTGGCATGTGCTCCAGTTATGAAGGCTAAGGGAGTTGGTCCACTTCCAAACTCACCTATATGATTGCTGGCAGGAACCGATTCACCCTGGGCTATTGGATTGAGGAGGTCCATCCTTTTCTGGAGAAGGCCTATGGTTCTTGCTACATTGGGAAGTAGAAACATGGCAACTTGCAAGTGAGCAAGCAATAAAATGAAATAGAATGGAGAGCATCAGAGTTACCACAGTTTTTCAGAATTTAATCTTAGACGTGATCACTCTAAGATCTCATCACTTCTGCCATATTTATTTGTCAAATGGCCCAACCCAGCCTCGCAGAAGGAGGTTTAGGAGGATTATGAGTGTCAGGGGAGAGGCATTATGAGAGCATTTGGAAGTTTCTGTTTAGTAACCAACTTGCCTTAATTCCCATATGTTTCTTTTCTTATTGAGAACATTTTGTATCAAAAGAAATTGCTATGCCATGACATACAATTGGGAAGTCTTAGTAAATTAGCACACAAAAAGCATTAGTTTTTTGTGGGCTAAACTTTTAGGTTGTCTCCTGTCTGATATTGGGATTTAGGCTTCATCATGAAGCACTACTAATGTGAAATTCTAGCTCTAGCCACAGAGATGTAGGAAATCTTAAGCATTGGACATGGAAGTCACATATTTAGTTTTTAGTTTCTGTATATATTGTATTGATCAGAATTCATGACAGGGTCCAACTTAACTGCAGAGAGAGTTGGGTAATGTAGTTTTCTGTGTGTTTCCAGGGCAAAAGGATATAAAAGACAAAAGGAAGATGGGAATGGTGGTTCCTGCCTATAATCCCAACACTTGAGAAGTGGAGAAGGAGGATCTTGAGTTTAAGACCAATCTGGGCTGTACATATACATACATTATATATATTCATAAGCTGTATATGTTTATGCATAATATATTTATAGTTATTTATAAATTATATTTATAAATATAATGGTTGCTATGGTCAGGAATCTGGAAACTCATTACAATATTCTCTTCTCATAACTCTAAACTTGTATATATAAAGTTTAAGCCAGACTGAGCTACAGAGATATGTTCCCCAAAATCATGGGCTAGGGATTCAGGTCAGTGGTAAATTGCCCCTGCAGACCTTGCATATGCAAGGCAAATGCTTTAAAATGCTTTACCAAACACACACATGCGCGCACACATACACACACACACACACAGACAACAGGATTGTGAGCACTTGGTTAGATTCACCTCACAGCCTATTTGAATATGTTGCTTGCCTTCCAAATAATATATGCACATATGCAACAGCACACTCTGTATTTAAAGTTTTCCTTTTTAAAATTTCTCTCAGCTCTGTTTGTTTTATTCCATAATGGGAAAGATAGCATGTATGTAGAATAGGCATAAATCATGTAGTAGAGTTTAAAATGCAGTTATAAAGCGAACAAGTACAGTACTGTGCAGCCAGTGCCAAAATCAAGAATTAGAACATGACCAGAAGTGGTGCTGTGGCTCAAGTGGTAAAGCACTAGCCTTGAGCTGAAGAGCTGAGGGACCATGACCAGGCCCAGAGTTCAAGCCCCAGGACTGACCAAAAAAAAAAAAAAAGATTTGGGCTGGGAAGGTGGCTCAATGGTAGAGTGCTTGCCTTACATGCATGGGGCCCTGGGTTTGATTCCTCAGCACCACATAAGCAGAAAAAGCCGGAAGTGGCGCTGTGGCTCAAGTGGTAGAGCGCTAGCCTTGAGCTGAAGAGCTGAGGGACAGCGCCCAGGCCCAGAGTTCAGGCCCCACGACCTGACAAAAAAAAAAAAAAAAAAAAAAAGAACATGACCTTTGCATTCTTTACCAATCACAGCTCCTCACTGGTGCTTCATTTTCTGGGAATTCTTTTCCTTCAGCATTACTTTTATTTGTACCAGATTTTATTCTCTTCTCTTTTTGGTAAAGGTTTTGGAATTTTCCCTCTTCTCTAGACTTGTATCCAGCTCTCAACATCTTCTACATTGTGTTTAGTAAAATGACTCTTGTCACCATAGCCACCAATGATTCCTCTTACATTATCTTCATCAGTTGCCTTATAGTCCTGTCTTTCTGAATTGATAGATGAAATTCGACAACTATAACAATTTTCTCTTCCTTGAAGCCATTGACTCATTACAGTAGATTCTTCTAATGATTCTAGCTGACTCTCCTTAGTTTTCTTTTTTGTTGTTGTTGCTGTTGGTCCTGGGGCTTGAACTCTGGGCTTGAGCACTGTCCTTGAGCTCTTCAACTCGAGGTGAACACTCTACTGCTTGAGCCACAGCACTACTTCCGATCTCCTCAGTTTTCTTACAATTCTATTTTCCTCATGAATCTATTTCTTATGAATCTGTAACTTCTGGGACTGAACTCTACTTTTTATGTTTTAACTCCTGCTCATAAATTTATATCTATATCTATAGTTGTTTATAGAAATTTATTTCTATAGTTGTATACATTCATATAAGATGTGGACAGTACACTTGAGTTTTTTTAGCCACTTCCATAGGGATAATTTATATGGATCCCTAGCTTAACAAGGCTTGAATGATTTCATCTTGCTTAGGAACAATGACAAAATTAACAGCTATAATCTATTGACAACTTCTAGGCACCAGATATTGTTTTAAGTGGCTTGATTTTCATTTTAATGGCTAATTCTATAGGCTAGTATTGTCAATGTACAGATGAGGACCAACTGAGAAAGAAATATATTAAGGATATTACCTATGGTCACAAACAAACAAAGAGCCTGGCACCAGTGGCTCATGCCTATACAATCCTAGCTACTCAGGAGGCAAAGATCTGAGGATCACCTTTTGAAACTAGCCTGAGAGGGAGAGTCCATAAGAGACTCTTAGCTCCCGTTAATCACCAAAAAAAAAAAAAAAAAAAAAAAAAAAAATCAGAGGTAGAACTGTGGCTCAGATTCATTGCCTGGGTCCTGATTTCAATCTAATCTCAGGTCTAGCATAAACACACACACACACACACACACACACACACACAGAGAGAGAGAGAGAGAGAGAGAGAGAGAGAGAGAGAAAACTTTGGACTTGATATTAAGTCTGACATTCCATCTTCAAATCACAATTCTGAATTCCTTTATAATTGCTTTCTCTCAAGTCAGAGCTTATGTCTAAACTTCATGACAAGTTCAATGGACCTTGCAGTAATATTTGGTTTATTCAGAAAAAGATATAATATTTGAAATTTATGTGAAACTTTAAAAAATTCTTCATAAATTTAGAAGATACTACTAATAATATGGCAGATTAATAAAACCCAGGAATAACTGATGTTATTTCAGAAAGTTACCACAAAGTAGCATTGACTTCTTCTTTTTTTGGGGGGGGGGGTCCGGTCGTGGGCCTGAACTCTGGGCCTGGGCTCTGTCCCTCAGCTCATCAGCTCAAGGTTAGCGCTCTACTACTTGAGCCACAGCACCACTTCCGGCTTTTTTTTTTCTGCTTATGTGGTGGTGCTGAGGAATCGAACCCAGGGCCTCATGCATGCAAGGCAAGCACTCCACCACTGAGCCACCTTCTCAGCCCAGCATTGACTTCTTTTACTAATCATGTAACGGATCCTACTATGTAAATTTTCTATACTTAGCTATACACAATAAGCAATATATTAAATGCCTATTTAAGATATGTCTATACCTAAAAAGATGCACAAGCTGTTCTAACAATAACTGTTTAAGAAAGCAATTAAATAAGCTGTGTGCCAGTGGCTTAAGCTTGTAATCCTAGCTACTCAGGAGGTTGAGATCTGAGGACTGTGGTTTGAAGCCAGCCTGAGCAAGAACATTTATGAGACTATTATCTCCAATAACGTACTCAGAAAAAGTAAAAAGTGGCGCTGTGGCTCAAGTGGTAGAGTACAAGCCTTAGGCTCAGGGACAGGGTCCAGGCCCCACGTTTAAGCCCCAGGACCAGAAAAAAAGCAAGCAAGCAAATACAGATTTACTAAGGTTATTAGTTCAAATGCAATATGCACATTTTATAATGACTGATACATCCTTTATTTTTATTAGTGAGCTAGATTTAAAGAAAAAGCTGTCTTTATTGGATCAGTCAACAAGAAGATGGATCCAATGAATAAAGCAAACTGTTCCATGTTTCAAAGAAATCAAAGCAATCTAGAAGCAGCTAAGTGGCTATGAGTCAGTGACTTGTGATATTGAAAAATAGCAATAACTTGACTCTTTCAGATAATGGTAGTTGTGTTTTGATCGCAGGATATCTTTTCTCCTTTCTCAGATCAGTACCACGGATCATTCATCAAAAGTCCCAGAATTCATCCAGTAGTCTAAATATTTTCCAATGTCATTCTCTTTTGTTTTCTCTTATTGCTTAGATGATGCTGGGACAAAAATCCATTTGCCTCAACAGGTAGACATGGCGGCCCAGGTTGCTTCGGGGATGGCCTATTTGGAGTCTCAGAACTATATCCACAGAGATCTTGCTGCCAGAAATGTCCTTGTTGGTGAACATAATATCTACAAAGTAGCAGATTTTGGACTTGCAAGAGTTTTTAAGGTAGATTTGATTTTGTTTTAATTCGTTTGTGTACTAGGTTTACATTCAGACTCTAAGACACACACACACACACACACACACACACACACACACACACACACACACACACATGTATATATATACACTACCCTGAGTTATTCTTCAAAACACCATTTTTCCAAGTCCCTAGTTCACAGAACACTTCAAGCTCAAGACTTATAGTCTATCTGTCTGTTCCAATTCCTTCAACATAGGGAAGAAAAACACAGAAAATAATGATATACTTGAGTTGTAAATGTGTAATTGTGTGCTTGAATTTATTGTCTGCCTTTTCATTTACTACCAATATTTCTTCCTGTATTTTTCGTTTACAAAAGCAACATACTTTATATGATTACAGAACCTACTGTTGCTTACTCTTTGCCCAACTAATCTACCTGTTGCCAGAATTCTACAAGTCTGGGGGGTGGCAATCCTCTGGTTTGAACTCAGGACCCTATCCTTGTTAGGTTGGGCTAAGATTTTAGCCATTCATCCAGAACATTTTTGTTTTAGCTATTTTTAGGAAGGCTCCTACTTTTTTGTTACGCTTTGTTTCTTTTTGTTTCATTTTATTTTTGCCTAGACTTGCCTGGCCTGTGATCTTCCCACTTATGTCTTCTATATAGCTGGAATGAGAGAGCCCAGCTTACTTGTTGAATTGAGGGTCTTACTAACTTTTGACCTAGGCTGGCCTGGAACCATGATCCTTCTGCTCTCTGTATCCTGAGTATCTGGAATTTCAGACATGAGCCAGGGTGCTGGCTACAGCCACCAACTTTTAAATTCCCCTTCCTCAACCTATTTTGTGACATGAGTCCAAAATATACTAACACAGAAGCATAATATTAGGTATTTATCTCTGGATTTACTTTTAAATCTCCATATTATACTCCTAAAAATATGGATATGGGACATGAAGTACAACAAATAAAAGATTCTCTTTTGATCCTCACATACTCATCAACGCTCCTTTTGGTAAGCTAATTAAAACCCTAGTGAGTTGATCTATTAGTTTGAATCATTTGAATTCTATTTTTTCAGCATTAGCAAGTGGTTATTTTGTAATTATCAAAGCCACTGGCTCTTCAATATCACCAGTAAATTAAAATAACACCAGACTTCGCTTCCTTTTCTTTTACTAAATTTCTAAGCATCATTTGTAAAGCATCTTATATGAGATCTCCCAATATAATAGAATAGTCCTTCCAGGGCTGATCTTAGCACATAGTAGGCTGTCAAATAATATTTTATTAATGCCATTCCCACATTTTTCAACCTTACCTGTGTGACTCAGAATTAGCTACTATAATCATCAATTGATCTAAGATCATTTTGGATATTTTTCCCTCTAAAATTTAACATGAAACTTTAAATGAATGAAGGAAGCAAAAAACAAACAACAACAACAAAAATCCCCAGCAGTACTTTAACTTGGATCGACTCTTTCATGCATTAACAGGTAGATAATGAAGACATCTATGAATCTAAACATGAAATCAAGCTGCCAGTGAAGTGGACTGCCCCTGAAGCCATTCGTACTAATAAATTCAGCATTAAGTCCGATGTGTGGTCATTTGGAATCTTGCTTTATGAAATCATTACTTATGGCAAAATGCCTTATAGTGGTGAGTAATGAATTCCGAAGTGAGCCTTTCTGCTGTAGGTCACTTCCTTAGGTGTGCCTTGAGCTGTTTTTCCTAGACTTAGAGGGCAGAGTGATGAAGCTGACCAGACTCGGTGCCCATGAGGGCTTGAGGGATAAAATTTGATGATGACAATTTACATTAATGAGGTGGCTTATTGCTTCCTTCTCCTTTGCTCTTGAATTGCGCTCTTGTAGACAGACATAACTTGCTGCAGGATTTAGTTTAATCTCTGCAAACTGGGAATTGGAAGGTAGATTCCCATCATCTTGCCCAGGAAATTGATTTGCTTTGCAATCTAGTGTATTGGTGCTTATGAACTGAAGACTAATCTTTTGCTTGTTTTTGTTCATTCTATTCTATATTGCTTTCAGGTATGACAGGTGCTCAAGTAATCCAGATGTTAGGTCACAACTACAGACTCCCACAACCAGCTAGTTGTCCACAGCAATTCTATAGTATCATGTTGGAGTGCTGGAATTCAGAGCCTAAAGAAAGACCTACCTTTGAGACACTGCATTGGAAACTTGAGGACTATTTTGAAACAGACTCTTCATATTCTGATACAAATAACTTCATAAGATGAACATTGATGGAAGCAAAAAAATCAAATAATCAGTCCAGAGACACAATGTTATCAGCCAATCACAATACCCGTTTATCTTGACATATGTGGGTAAAAGGACAAATTTGGCCATGTATTTCACAAAAGATTATATGTATATTTTATTGACTGGGAAACACTACAGAGCAGTAGAAGGTGGTTTATCATTTTCTCAAACTGCCTGGCAAAATCTAACACACTTAATGAGGTTATTTTTCTTCTTAAAAGATCCTTACATTTCTATTTATTGTTTGAAATGCCGATCAAGAGAATCAACAGATGATAGTCAATTTTTACATGGTGACTGTTGTAGCATTTTTCTGTTTACTGATTAGAGTGGTTATTCATTATTCCTTAGATTGCTGAATCCCATCAAGCTGTTATTATGAAGGAATTTGATTGCATTGCTGCACAGCAGGACCTGTGCTTTGAGATTTTTTCCCCCCTCTCTTTTAAAATATCCTGTAACTACAATGATGGGAAAGCCATGTTAAATGACTTGATTGTACTTGAAGTAATTGCACATATTTTTCTTATGCATAAAAAAAATGAAGCAGCTGTTGAGAAAAAGAATTAAAATTGTTCTCGTTTTTTAGAAGGAAATGATGGAATTTTTCTATACCTCAGTATGTGTCATTTGAGAATCATCTGTATTAGTTTTAATCTCTTAATGTTAAGAATCAGGTTGCAAAGCTGTTGAATTATTATGTACAGAAATATGTGACAGACACCCAATAGCCCACAAGGTGTGAGAAGTAGGTATTAAAGTCATTAAGCAAAACAAGGTAAGAGTAGTATTGCTACAGCCTTCTAAGTCATTTTTAAAATTGGTACCTAAGCCACTTTTAAATAGATCACAAGGCAAGTCAAGCTCTTTTCAGATCTAGAGGCTAGGGATCATGTCTGAACTAGGTTATAAATATAAACTTGACTCCTAGATGAACGTTTTTAGCTATCTTAAATTTGTGTTAACCTTCGTAACAATGTTACTGCCTTCTTAAGCAAAGGGTATATCAAATTCTCTGCTGCATTAGAAGAATAACAAGACTTCTCCAAGTTAGTTTCAAAGTCAAATGTATGTTCAAAGATGTGGTTCATAGCAATTAGAATGAACAAGCCATGAGAAAACAGATTGTTTTGAGTGTATTCCCTTATTTTTCTTTGAGAAGAATATGTCTATGAATAAGCAAGAAACCAATTTGTAAACTTTTTAAAACTCAGGGACAAGAGGTAAGGAAGGTGCCAGGTTTAATACCATTAACCCTCAATAATGTTACCCCAAACCTCCACATGATCCTTATTCTCAATGTTTATACCAGAGTGCCAGCAGCAACTAGGGCTCTTTATTATCTTCTCGCTTTGCTAAAGCTAGATGGAAATTTCACTCTTAATCTCCATGATTCTTTTTCTGTGTGGGTCACATGTCCACTCTGGACTAATAACACATTTCATATGGATGTTGAGTGGCTTAGAAGAACTAGGTCTGACATTGAACATGGGAATGTATTGTCTTCCCTGGAGATTAGTTGGTGTGTTAGTTTAGCTGAATAAAATTAGAGATTAATTGCTGGAGAGATGTCCATAAGAAAATCATCTGAGATAAACTAATTATTAGAATTAATCTATGTGCAGATATATCTGTCTGTGTGTCTATCACCCCACACCCCCTTATATATTAGGCTGGTAGGTGAGTACATAGAGAAACTTTGCTGAAGACGTGATACTACAATGGGTTTGTGGAGCTAACAATTATAGAACCACTTATAGAAGCAAGAATATCTGTAAAGTAAGATCAATATTAATATTTTCAATCACTTGATGACTTAAAAGATGACTTCATTTATTTATTTAAGTTATATTGTCTAATGTACTCAAGGAGTAGGTTAGTTAAAATTTAGCAAAACTTAACAGAAAATAGCTCCTTTCCCTGAGTTCATGTCTTTGGGTTCAGTTCCACTTGGGCATAGGTAGAAATGAACCGAAACATTCTCATTTTATTGTGCAAATTCAACCACTCAATAATTTGTCTTTCTGTGGTAAGTAGTGAAAATAAATTTTTAAATAGGATCTGGTTTTGAAATATAAAAAGAAGGTTATCCTTTCTTGTTTTAATACCACCTGAAACTCATTTAACTTACTGTGTCGGATTCTTGGGGACATTTATGTTCAAGGTTCTGTCAAAGCAATCTATTATTCTTGTTTTTACCCTGATGGAGCATGGGGAAAAATAATGGATTCAGTTATGAGAAGCAGTAATAGATTTTTTTAACTGACATAAATTTCTCTCCCTGTATAGAATAAAAGGATCAGAGAAAGATAAGTTGAATTTTCTTACAGTGAGCCAGCTCTTGTTAAATTTACCTCCCATAAATTGTAGCAAAGTACTTCTTATGTAATGTTTTATTTATGTAATTCAGGTATTTGGAGGTGGTGGTGAGGGATGTGAGTACATCATTTCATGTGGTATTTCAAATCTCTTTTGACAAAAACCTTACGAATTTTTGTGACAGGAAAAAAATTCAAAGTCCCATTAAGCCACTTTTTTTTTTTGAGAAGGCAAAGAAAGAAATATGTTTAAATTACCTTAGGTCAAAAGAGGCAGCTGTGAACTCCTGGTAGTTGTGCAAAACGGAAGATTTTATCATCTAAAACAATGGTAAAGTCAAGCGAGGAGAAGGCTGCAAATTGTGTCCTAAGGGAACAAGTCACTTTAGAGGACACCAAAAGAACAAGCCGGTGGGGAAATGTCACACTGTGCCCACTTACACCCCTGACTCAAAACATGTATCTGCCTGGCGACCACAGAGATCTAGTGAACCATGAGAGACCCTCACTTTTCTGACTCGCTGGTGGCCCAAAGGAAATCTTCGCTCTGGACGGATGGCTTCCCGTAAGCCAGCTGGAACTTCCCGGAGGAAGCGGGACCCAGCTGGTGTTCGGTGGTGTGTCAAGCATATGCTGTACCTGTAATCAAAATGTTCATGGTGAGGTTGGGCATATAATATCGGCACCAAACAATCTCGCTGGCTGTGTGTTTGTGGTGACTTTTTAGGATGGTTTAAAACAATACATTATGTAAATTAGAATGAGGGTGGTTTGAGTACTCTATTCAAATTGTATCATGTTCTCTCATTGAGAACAGACACTTTTTAGAAAAAGTAAATGAGGTCAGTGTATTAGTAATACCAGTGGACTCGTCTACCAATGTTTGGTTCTTGGCTTTCCTGGTTTCCTTAAGGAGAAGTTTTCATTTATAATCATCAACATAATGCAAAAAATTCTCTATTGTGGGGTGAAAACAAAAGGTAGAAATTTTGGTAGAGGAGATCTGCAGAGCTTTTAAATCCACGACTGTAGCCTACATTGCATCATTGAACACTTTCAGATTTTTCACTTTTATTTTAATATTTTACTTAAGAAATTGAGTTAGAATTTCACTATGCACATAGTCCAGGCTGGCTTCTGACTCACAGTCCTTCTGCTCAGCCTCTGCCTCCAGAGTGCTGGGATTATAGCTGGATACCACCACGCTGCCTTCTCTTTGCTTTGTTTGACAGAAATAAGGCTGGTAAATTTTTCAAATTATTGATTAAATTGAGAAACTAGAGGCACAAATGATAGCCAGCTAGAAAGAAGAATGGAATTATGTCATGGAACTGGAGGTCATATTAAATAAACCAGACACAGAAAGACAAGCATTGCTTGTTTTCTCTCAAATGAGGAAACAAAGAAAGATTTTTAGGAAGAATAAGGGAAGATCAAAGGGGAAGAAGAGAGTGAGAAGGTTAAGAGAGGGTAGAAAGGAAGGTAGACATGACCAAAATGCCACACACACATGAATGATGATGTTTCAGTGATAATTTTTCTGATTTAATAGTTACAAGTAAAAATAGTCAGTAAACATTGAATTCCAGAACTTTAAGGAAGCTTAGCTTCAATTTACATTCAAATGATAGTAACTCCATGGGGTTTATAAAAACAGGCTATAAGGAAAGAGGTATGCAATGGTTTCCATTTACTCTTCTCATTTGGGTAATTAATCCAATAGCTATCTAAATCAATAAGCTTCAGTATAATTTATCCTTTGTCGTTCTGTGGGAAAAGTCAGCTTTTTCATAAAAAGAGGAAGCAATTGTGGGGTGCCAGTAGCTCACGCCTGTAATCCTAGCTACTCAGGAGGCTGAGATCTGAGGATTGTGGTTTGAAGCCAGTCTGGGCAGAAAAGTTCCTGTGAGACTCTTATTTCCAATTAACCACTCAAAAGCCAGAAGTGGTGCTGTGGCTCAAGTGGTAGAGCACTAGCCTTGAGAACAAAGAGGCTCAGAGACAGCACTCAGACCCTGAGTTCAAGTCCCACAACAGACCAAAAAAAAAAAATAGAGGAAGCAACTCTGATATGCCTTAAGTGTCCAGTTATAGTATAGTTCAGAGGTTTACAGACATACATTATAATAACCATGAAATTGTATGTTGGGAAGAAATGGCTAAAAGTATTGTATATGGAATAAGTGAAATATTTTAACAATGTCTTAGATATTAGCATATAGTCTTTCATTATACTGCTTGTGGATTATATAAAACTGATTTTTATTAACCAACTTACACCTAAATTTTATGCTCCATAGAATTTCAGCAGAAAAACCTATACCATATGTTTTAACCAATCTTTAAAATCTACACTTACTAATAGGTTGAGAAGGTGACAAATAAAACTAATTAGTAATATTACCATACTCTGAAGACAGAGAGTGAGATTCTATCTCTTATGAGCTTTCATTTTTCTATATGGTACCCTTTAATACTTAGATGGTGCAGTTATATTAGAAATATTTTACATGATTATATGTGTAACAAATGATAAAAAGACCTCTATTAATTGTACCATTGTGATAATGTTACTAGTAATTATGATTCAAATGCAAGTATTTAATTAAAGTAGTCTATTTTTGTGTTTTTAAAATACTCAGGAAAAAAAACTTCTCTTGGAGATATAGTTTACCATAATTGCTATCTTTAATCATGCTGATAGCTATAAAAACAGATTATTTTTAACTTGTAAAAGTTGAGAGCTTCAGAGGTGAAAGTAGTTGTGACTATATAGCATAAAATTAGTATGTTTCATAGCAAGTAAAATGATTTATCAGTTGAGTTATTTAAGAGTGTGTATGAGGTAGGCAGTGCGTCTAGGAATCCAGGAGGTATAATATGTCACCTTTATCAAGGAACTAGGCTGATGGAGAAGTCACCAGCACTTACATTGGTGGTTGAAATATGAACCTTGGTGAACCTCCAATGAGCAATTTTGGACCCAGTAGGTACAATGCGGTTTTTTCCCTCATACTCACTGACAACAGCATTGTTGTCAAGCCATCGTATAATGACTGCACCCAGACACACTAATGCTGAATGTGAATCTATAGAGAAAAGGAAAATGATGCAGCTGAAGAACAGAAACAATCTGTTTTGACAGGAATACAGGAGTGAGGGAGAAAAAAGACCCAGGTTAGGACTAACCAGGTTATGGAGGACAGTATAGTTTGAGCTACTAATAATACTTTTTAATCTCCCAGGACAGCTACTGAGAACACTTAGAAATGTAATCTGGATTTTCAAATACTATTTTCACTAAAGTACGGCTTAAATGACAATAAGCATGGGCAGAGAGGATAATTTAGGAAGGCAGATTTTCTGGGTAGGGGATTATACTCTATGTGGTTACATTAGTGGATGAAAGACATGCAGAAAATCATAACAACTGGTGAGACATTTGGAGGCAGAGTTATGTATCAAGGACATTTCCATGAGTCCTCAAAGAGCAATGGAGATTTGGGACAACAGAAGAGAAGCAGATGGGTAGGATGAGTGCAGGAGATAGCAGCTCAGTTTAAGGTTATTACAACACATCCAAATAGAGTTAATGAAAGAGTTGGGTGCTTGTAATTGGGGAGCAGAACTGAAGTATGATGCTAACTGAAAACTAAGGAGATATTGGAAAATAAATGTATAGATTCATGCTGGGGGGAATAGTCTGAAGAAAGAGTGAGAGAGAGAGAGAGAGAGAGAGGGAGACAGAGAGAGACAGAGAGACAGACAGAGAGACAGAGAGACAGAACAAAAGGGTTCATCTGATATCAGTACCCGAAGAGATGGGGCATCAGAGAAGTGGGCAGAGAATCAGGGGATGCTATCCCCGGAGTAAAGCAATAAAGCATAGCCTGTTGTACTGAATATTAAAGAGAAGTCAAGAGAAATGGAAAGTGACGGTTGTGCATTAGCCTTTTAGCAGCTCTGAGGTTTTTAGGAAGAGCATTCTATCTGAGAAGGAGAAGCAAAATCAGACTATACTGGGATAAGGCACAAGTGAGAAAGAATTTGGCGCAACATTTATCATACTATCACCCTGGGAACACCTCCTGTCGATGGGTATAAAAGTCAGATGAGACATAGATAACAACTATGAATATGAAATTGTGTGTGTGTGTGTGTGTGTGTGTGTGTGTGTGTGTGTGTGTCTGTGAGAGAGAGAGAGAGAGAGGAGAGAGAGATTTAAAAAATAGGCGACTAGGTTTTCTTTCAAAATTTAAAGGATGGTCATAAGAAGCTAGTTTCAGTAGGAATATAATATACAGAGACACTTTGTGATGCAAACAAGTCAGATAGTCTTATTCATCAAATTGGTTTGGATTCTCTCTTTCCCTTAGATAAATGTAAGCCTGGGATATAGGAAAATAAATATTTTGAGTGAGGATCTCCAGTTTCAGGAATAACCATTTACTTTGTGGTAATAAAAGGCTACATGAGAAACAAATCATGCCTATTTACTCCAGATTGACCTAGTTTGCTAATAATGTTCTTTGGGTAGATTACTTTTCTCTGGAAATATGTCTGATATAGATTAGAGAAACAGAAACAAAGAGAAAAAATTTTCAAGTGATTCCAAGTACAGTGTCTATTCATTTTCCTTGAATGTGCATATGAGGTCTAATTGTACAAAATGAAACAATATGGCTCACTGCAGATGAATTATGAGATCCATTTGAAAGTAGGTTAAAATAGAGTCCAGGAGGTGATAAGAAGCTCAGGTTTTAATATCTCAGGGGGAAGACATTGGAACCATCCTAATGGATCTAATTATAAGGAAGACTAAGAGGGAAAAACAGGCAAATGAAGAAAAAAAAGAAAGGTAAAGCTATTTTAAGAAAATATCATCAAAGTCTTTAGAAAATGTTCTTCCTTCATCTAGTTGATTGGCTGAAGAATAATGCAGAAATGTTCTTAAAATATCCTCACTTTCAACTCTAAGTGTTTTTGTACCTGAGTCAGACCAAAGTGACTCTGGAATAAACTATATCATGGGAATTAATTATTTTCATCAATTTATTTT